CTTCCTTCCTTCCTTCCTTCCTTCCTTCCTTCTTGTCTTGTCTGTCAGTCTCCCTTCCTTCCTTCCTTCCTTCCTTCTTGTCTTGTCTGTCAGTCTCCCTTCCTTCCTTCCTTCCTTCCTTCTTGTCTTGTCTGTCAGTCTCCCTTCCTTCCTTCCTTCCTTCCTTCTTGTCTTGTCTGTCAGTCTCCCTTCCTTCCTTCCTTCCTTCCTTCCTTGTCTTGTCTTGTCTTGTCTGTCGGCCTTCCTTCCTTCCTTCCTGTATGTGGTTGATAATGGACTGTCCAAGGGCCATTTCACAGGAAAGGTGACAAAATAAAAGAATGAAACACAGAAGAAAACATAACACATCAGATTGAATCACATCCATGAGCAAAAGTAATAAAGTTAATAAGAAAAGAAGTGAAAGAAAAGCAATGAAACCAGTGAGATTAAAAATAAACCACACTGCATAAACCCAGAACTGAAACCTAAAAGTGTTTTTTTTTTTTTCATTTCATTTGCTGTTACCATGTTCCTTTCTGCAAACTAATAATCTTTATAGTTAGGCCCCTTTTTCAATTCAAAATATAAAAAAAAAGTTATTGACTGCAAAAGCGGTTAACTGTAATTCAAACTTAATTTATTTGCAACAATTTCAATCAGAACTGCAATTTATGTGACAAATAAGCAAAGTGAACCGGAGATATGTTTTTATTGTAAACACAAACCAGTTTCATCATCACCTAAACCAGATCACCAAACTGTTTCTTCCAGGTCTCTTTGGTTGATATCAGAGGTGACCGTACTTAAGTATAATGTTTAATTATTTTTACTTTTCTGGAGTAATTATTTTTCTGCCTACTTTTTACTACATTTTCATGCAACTATGTTTCTACTCATTACATTTAAAAAAAAGCAAAATGTATTTCATTTTAAATGGTGACGCATTTGCAAGGAACATGCATTTGTGGGATGAGCAGTTGAGTATGTGGGTTGCCAAATCTTCTCTGCCAAACAGCTTATTTTGCTGTTGTTGGCATTTATTTTGAGCTTCTGGTACCCCAGGTGCTAACAATCAGCTGCTAAGTATAAGAGTTATTGCCAAGAAGAATTGTTACAACTACAAAACACAAATTTCCTCACTTTTTGTGCTGAGTTTATATTCTGTCAGTCTGTGAAGCTGCCACGTTATAATGTGAAACCTGCTCATTTATTCAGTGAACTTCCTTTTAATGACACTTGACCACATCCAGAAGCTATTTTTCACAAGGAACCTCCAACAGACGAGCCTCCGATCACTGCTTGTTTCTGCTGATTGATGCTTAAATACTGATGATCACTCCGACCACATGACCCTGTCATTCATCACCATACTTCTCTCTTTTTTTCATCATATGTCCATGTCACAGCAATATCAGAGGGAGGGAAGGAAGTCTTTAATCTTTCCGTTGAGGCTGAAATAAGTCACACACTGCCCACAGTATGTAAAGTTTAATTAATGTGATCAAGTTAAAAAAAATTAAATAAAAAAAACGCACTTAGGCTGGAAAAACCAACTTGCTTTTTTTAATACCAAGTAAAAGCTTATGAAGAGGAGGTTGTGTTCCATCACTAGCATTGGAAAAGTCTAAGAACAGAGATATTAATTTATTTTAGAATATCACACCCAGTGTAGCTGTGCCAAAGAAGCAGCCAACATTACTGGACTGTTAATTCAGAAAAAGGTAAACAGTCCTATTACCCAGGTTTCACCTAAGATACCACATGTTGAGCCTCTGTGATGGTCTATAGGTTTTCCTCTCTTGGTTTGTGCTTTCTTCTGGTTTGTGGTGGTTCTTGATTGTGTTTTGGTCTCATTCACCTACTTTTCATGTTGTGCTTTGTTGCTCTGAGTTCACCACAGCAAGACAAATTTAGGCCCATAAAGCCTGAACAACTTATTTTAGCAGCTTTTTAACCACCTCTGTGACCTCAGCACCAGAGATTGGTCAGTCCGACCCAGGGTCCCCAGGCTCTGCCTCCTCATGGGAAGATGTGCTGGTGGGATTGAGGAGGTCTTCAAAGTATTCTGCCCACTGACCCACAACATCCTGAGTTGAGGTCAGCAGTGCACCATCCCCACCATAAACAGTGTTAACAAATGTATTAGTCTGATACCAAACAGGGCGGGTATCAGGGGCGGAGTGTGGAAACTTTTCAGCCTGGGAGTTTAATGGCCAAGATCGGCCCAAATTCTTTGCATATAAAAAATTAGGCAAAAATGTAGCACTGGTATGTAATATTTTTGTATTGGAATATGGTAAATAATTATAATTAATAAGGAATAATTATATAAAAAACACATAACTGTATGGTTATTTAAACAAAGGCTCAATTGAACATTTTAACATTTGAGTAAACAAAAAACAACTTACTCTAACACAAGAATCTACAGCAGGAGTGTCAAACTCAGCTACACAAGTGGGCAAAAATTCAAAACGGTCCAACCTGAGAGCCAATTCCTGTCAATTTAATGTTACAAGCGATATTTTCCAAATCATATTTTATGTAACTTTCAGGACAGACATAACTTAATGAATAAAGAAAAATAATCATAAATTTAAAAAGACACATTATTATCATTAATTTCTTATGTTTTACTCTACCATCAACTTTTTCATTTATTAATTTTTAGATACGTTTTGTCACAATTGACTTTAAAATAACTAATAATAAAATAAACAGTAGTGTTTTGAAATAAATGGTATTTTTTGCTAATCTGAATCAGTAACATTTGAAACTCTGTGTATTTTGTCAATTTTATATTTGACAGTTTGAAATGAACACATTTGTAATATTTATTACAAATATGATTGTTTTTAAAGAAACTATTACCTATAAAATATTTAAATCATACCCTCTTTGTACTTTTTATTACATTTGTAAAACGTAATCAGAACTCTAACTCTTATAAAATGTCAGTTATGTATTGAGAAAAACTATATAAAAATCTTTTTTTCCAATCATTGAAAATAATTTGTTTTGTTGCTCTGGGGGGGTCTGTGCCCTAAAGGATTAATGTTCAAAAATAATTTGTATCAACTAACTATAACTAAATATGTAACAATATAAAGATCATAAAATTAATCCCCAATTATCTTCTACTGCACCCAGTTGTTTAAGAAAAAAGTCAGTGCAAAATAACATCTTAGCAATAATGTTGCAAAAATATAAATATAACAATGTCAACAAATAAAAAAACTTCTTTAGCATGCAGGAACGATGTAAAGGGCTAAAGACTAACTGCAAAGACTCTATCACTACTGACTTTTTCATTTATTTGTGAAAAATACAGTCAGTAGTGAAAATAAACATAAAACAAAAAACTGTTCTCATAAATTAATCCAAAACTGATGCTCAGCTTGATATCAATACACATATAAGTATAATATAGAACATTTACAGATAGTGTGTATTTAAATAATCAATACAACCTTTAACATTAGGAAGAGCTGTATCCCTGATCAGAAACATCAAGACA